GTGTACCTACTTTTGCCCGTCATCTTGCAGCAGATCTAGAGAGGATATACCGTACATTGGGGGGACAGCCAGGTCAAGCCCCACCATGAGCAGATGTTCCAATGTTTGAAAGCAAAAAGATTGTGGAGTTGAAGCATAGTCATAGTTATTAGAACTTTTCATGTAGTGGTCATGTTTTAATTTGAGTCATTGTTAAGTCTTTAAATCATTTTTTTAGTCCTGTCCGAGTCTGTTAAGTCATTTCAATGTAATGTCCTTTCTGTCATTGTACTGTTTCTTTTTTTTTTTTTAAAAATATTATTGTTTTTCCCTGAACTACGTAATGATCTGATTCATGCGGCACCATGATACGTAGGCAATCCTCATCGGATGCGATCATAGCCATAATTAATCTAAAAAAAAGGGGCGTCAAATTCAAGACGTAAATAAAATAATTAACCAATAAGCCGGGATGAAGCATAAAGCCTTCCAAACTCATTCTAGAAATGAAAATGGCGTTAGGTGCATGACATACAATGTGTGATTAAATATCTGCAAAATGCCTAACTCTAACACGCTTGTTGTTTGTCATTCAAAGAGATAAAGTTAAACAGAGGTGGTTGGTTTGTGGTTTAAACTGGCGATTCACCCTTACAACACGAGATCAAAAGGAAAAAGTAGAATGGCGAACAACAGTGAGAATGAGTCAGATAATGATGATGTCCATGGACAATTGGTTGAACAAGGTTCGGGACTGGTTGAAGAAGTAAGAGTGTTGAAACAACAATTGGCAGATATGTACCAAGCCTGGGTGAATGGACAGGCACCACCCCCAATACCTATAGGGCCTTCGGATAAACTTCATAATGTGTCAGTTGCAAATCAAGTGCCTATCTCCATAACAAGTAACCCATTGTACCAACCTAGTTTCAGTCCGAGCATTAACCTGCCCGCTATCCCCAGTACCTCCATTCCCCGTCCTCCAACCGCACCCCTCAGAAATGACCCACCTACTGTACCCATTGTCCCTACTTTCACTGTTCCTCAACCGGCTCTTGCTCAAAATCTCAACAATGATCCACATCTGAATGCTTATGATGCCCAACATTACTCTCCAGAACTGACTTTCAAGGTCCCAGATTCATACAAGCACACTTCTCAGAACATGTTCCCAGTTGAGATCGAAAAGCCCGAAAAGAATATGGAACATGAGGAAATGACCAGAAAAATGAAGAGCTTGGAACAAACCATGAGAAACATACAGGGTTTGGGAGGCCACAAGAGTGTTTCGTTTAATGAACTATGCATGTTCCCCCATGTTCATTTGCCATCGGGTTTCAAGACCCCCAAGTTTGACAAGTATGACGGTCATGGTGATCCTGTTGCCCATTTGAAGAGATATTGTAACCAATTAAGAGGAGAAGGAGGTAAAGAAGAATTACTCATGGCTTATTTTGGGGAAAGTTTTACAGGAATTGCTTCAGAGTGGTTCATAGATCAGGACATCTCTCACTGGCACGTTTGGAACGATATGGCTCAAGATTTTGTCCAACAATTTCAGTACAATATTGATATAGTGCCAGACCGCTCCTCTCTTGTCAACATAAAGAAGAAACCAATAGAAAGCTTTAGAGAATATGCAATCAAGTGGAGAGAGCAGGGTGCTAGGGTCAAACCACCAATGAAAGAGGTAGAAATGATTGACTACTTTCTCCAAGCTCAAGATCCTGATTACCTCCACTATATGTTGGCCGCCATTGGTAAACCTTTTGCTGAGGCGATTAAGATTGGGGAAATAGTTGAGAATGGCATGAAGTCGGGCAAAATTGTGAGTCAGGCAGCCCTTAAGGCGACCACGCAAGCAATTCAAAGTGGGTCAGGCAGTTTCGGAAATCGGAAAAAGAAGGAGGAAGGATCCATGATGGCATCTGGGTTCGGGGGAGTTCAAAGAGGAATAGTTCCTTCGTACGTGCAATTCCAACAAGGACAATCCAATTCTCCTCATCATTATTATCCGCCTCAAGGTCCTTGGTACTCGGTGCCCTCGCAACAATGCATAGTGTTTAATGCTCAGGCTTATGCTAGGTCTCCCAATCACCAACAATGGCGAGCACCGACTCCACTATGCTTCCGTCAACTCCGGCCAAATTTTCAGGTGCCATATAATCCTCGTCCCAGACAGAAATATGTGAGAGAACAGAAGCCAAAGAAAAAGTTCACCCCAATTGGAGAATCGTATACAAGCCTATTTCGAAAGTTGATGCAACTGAAGTTGATTGAACCTATTGTGCCGTATTATGTGAATCCAAATTCAAAAGGTTTTGACTCCAATGCGAGATGTGAGTATCGCTCCAACACCCAAGGTCACAGTACCGAAAATTGTTGGACATTAAAGAAAGCCATTGAAAATTTGATTGAAGCAAAGGCAATTGTGGTGGTAAACAATGAAGATACTCCTAATATCACAAACAATCCGCTCCCAGCTCATGATAATACACATTTTATTGGGATGATTTGTGATGATCGGGATTATAAGCAATTTGGCAAGACAGAGATGATTGTTGGAACCATAGGGCCAGAGCCAAAAGTGATAGTAATCCCGCCGCAATCGGTACCGCTGATTGTGAAAGGTGCGAGTTCTAGTTCAAACTTGGCAGGTTCTGAAAAAATGGTTCTCTATGTCCCTGGAAGCACAAAAAAGATTGAGGTTCAAAAGATTGTTCCGAATAATGCTTTGAGAAATATAACAGAGCCAGTTGTGATCCGACCTGTTGCACAACTTCCAATGTCAAACACAAAAGCTATTCCCTGGAACTATAACAAGACTGTCATGACATACAAAGGAAAAGAGATAGTGGAAGAAACAGATGAAATGGGAGGCTTGACCCGCTCTGGAAGGTGCTACTCGCCAGAGGAATTGAGAAAAGCTAAGCAACCCAAGGAAAATCACTTTCCAGTGAAAGAAACTGTTTCAGAAAGCGGAGGAATTCCTTAAGAAAATGAAAATGCAAGACTACTCAATCATTGATCAACTAAGGAAAACCCCTGCTCAGATATCTTTGTTATCTCTGCTTCTGCACTCGAAAGAACATCGCCTTGTGTTGATCAAAACTTTGAACGAGGCATATGTCTCAGAAAAGACAACGGTGAATCAGCTAGAAAAATGGCTGAAAGATTCTTTGAGGTGAACAAAATTTCTTTCAGCGATGATGATTTTCCTAAGGAAGGGTCTGGGCACAATAAAGCTTTGCATCTTATGGTCAAATGTGAAGGACATTACGTAAGAGGGGTCATGATTGACGGAGGCTCAAGTGTAGATGTATGCCCTCTTTCTATTCTACAACAAATGAACATTGACATTAACAAAATTCGGACTAGTACTGTCAGCATCAGAGCTTTTGACGGTTCAAGAAGAGACACTATTGGGGAAATCGAACTCACCATGACAATTGGACCGGTTGATTTTAACATTGTCTTTCAAGTGTTGGATATGAAAACCTCATATAATTTTCTTCTGGGAAGGCCGTGGATCCATATGGCCAGAGCTATACCATCCACCCTACATCAAATGGTCAAATTCAAATATGACAGGCAAGAAATTGTTGTTCATGGGGAGGATGACTCATCCATTTATAATGACCCGTCTATTCCATGTATCAAGGCCAAGGAAGGATGTGAATCCCTCACATATCAAACATTTGAGGTGATTGAGGTAGACCAAGTGGAAGAAGGAAAACCAATTCTGCATCCCTATCTTTCAGCCACATCTATGATGGTAGCTTCACTGATGTTGAGGAACGGCTATGAACCAGGAAAAGGATTAGGATCATTTCCGCAAGGAATTGTGAACCCCATTGCTCCTTTTTTGAAGAAAGATACCTTTGGCTTGGGTTTTAAACCAACATCAGCTGACATAAACAGAGCCAAGGCCCGTAAAAAGAATGGTTGGAAATTGTCAAAACCAATCCCTCACATTGCCTACTCTTTTGTCAAGCCACAATTTGAAGAAGTCCAAAATCTTTCTACTCAAGATGACATTGACGAAGTTTGCCAGGGTCTCAAGGAGATGTTCTATGGAATAAACATGGTTCAAGTTGGTGAGGGCCTTAGCCGTGTAAGTGTTCAGCTGATTGGTCCAGATACCTCGCTCAACAACTGGGAAGCAACTCCTCTTCCCATCAGGAAGGAGTCTTGGTAGTCTGTTTTGTTGCTTTTTCTGTATTTGGATTATTTTCAGGGTTGTAATCCAGATATTTTAGTTTAATTGCTTTGCTTTGATGTTAACCCTTCTATCCTTTCAAATTCAATGAAATGAAGTTCCAGTTTCATAGTAGAAGTATGTCTTTTCCTTTCCCTAATTTTTGTTAATTTCTTATCATTTTCAGTTTTGTTAATGCTGGCTTTAAAAACATGACATGCACGCGGAATTCATGCCCGGATCTTAAAAAGTTGTCTAATCTCGAAATAATGAATCAAGAAGTTGAGTATGATGAAGATGAGGCTTTTAAGGAAATAAAAAGGGAATTGGATCAATTTGAGAATAAGCCTAAGCCTAACTTAAATGAAACTGAGGCAATTAACCTGGGAAGTCCCGAAGAAACCAGAGAAAGTAAAATAAGCATTCATACTGAACAAAAGACGAGAGATGCCATAATTCAAGTTTTGTTCGAGTACAGAGATGTATTTGCTTGGTCGTATGATGACATGCCGGGTTTGAGTGCCGATTTAGTGGTCCATAAGCTTCCCACATATCCTAATTTTCCACGAATCCAACAAAAACAAAGGAAGTTTAAGACAGACATGAGCGATAAGATTAAAGAAGAAGTCACGAAGCAACTAAGTGCAAATGTGATCAGGGTCGTCCGATATACTACATGGTTAGCAAATGTTGTGCCAGTGCCAAAGAAGGACGGGAAAATTAGAGTTTGTGTTGACTATAGGGATTTAAATAAAGCAAGTCCAAAGGACAACTTTCCTTTACCCAACATTCATATCCTTGTTGACAATTGTGCTAAACATGAGATCCAATCTTTTGTGGATTGTTATGCTGGGTATCACCAAATTCTGATGGATGAAGAAGATGCAGAAAAGACCGCCTTCACTACGCCATGGGGAACCTATTGTTATAGGGTCATGCCATTTGGTTTAAAGAATGCAGGAGCAACTTACATGAGGGCCATGACTACCATATTCCATGACATGATGCACAAAGAGATTGAGGTGTATGTTGATGATGTGATCATTAAGTCTAGAACACAAGATGATCATGTGCAAGACTTGAAAAAGTTCTTTGAAAGGCTATGAAGATACAATCTCAAACTCAATCCAGCCAAATGCGCATTTGGAGTTCCTTCTAGGAAGCTTTTGGGTTTTATAGTTAGTCGAAGAGGCATTGAGTTAGATCCCTCCAAGATAAAGACCATTCGAGAGCTGCCTCCCCCGAAGAATAAAAAAGAAGTCATGAGTTTGCTCGGGAGGTTGAACTACATCAGCAGGTTCATTGTGTAGCTTACAACCACATGTGAGCCTATTTTCAAGTTGTTGAAAAATAACTCCGCTATCAAGTGGACAGATGAGTGCCAAGAAGCTTTTGATAAGATCAAGGAATATTTGTCAAATCCCCCTGTTCTGGTCCCGCCGGAACCTGGCAGGCCTCTGTTTTTATATCTGTCAGTAATGGATAGTTCCTTTGGCTGTGTTCTAGGTCAACATGATGCCACAGGCAAAAAGGAACAAGCAATATATTATTTGAGCAAAAAGTTCACCACTTATGAGGCCAAATACACTCATTTAGAAAGGACATGTTGTGCCTTAACCTGGGTCGCTCAGAAGCTTAGGCATTATCTTTTCGCCTATACAACTTACCTCATATCCCGAATGGATCCCCTGAAGTACATTTTTCAGAAGCCGATGCCAACTGACAGATTGGCAAAGTGGCAAATCTTGCTCACAGAGTTTGATATTGTTTATGTCACTACACTGCCATGAAGGAACAAGCTTTGGTTGATCATCTGGCAGAAAACCCGGTTGATGATGAGTATGAATCTTTGAACACATACTTTACC